TCGTTTAACGTAACGACAAATTATCGTCAAACGAAGTTACTCGGTTCAATCCCTTCACAAACAACATCAACTGACCATTGTGAAACACCATTTTCTAATCTAAATTGAGAGTGAGTTTTTTCAGTCAAATATATTCCATATTCTACCATTTTACTCCTAAAATTTGATTCTTAATAGGTATACTCCCATATTCATCTTAAAAATTATAACGGTTGCTAAAACAAAACAAATTGTGAGATAGCAACTCACTGAAGAAAATGGTGGATGTATCGCTCAGTTTCATGAATTAGTTGAAGTTAGACGTTAACACTGTTGTATGCCGACCGTCTCAGTGGTCTAGAAGTTAGGCCGATAGGTCCTGGGTTCGAATTTCAGGAGGCGGGGTCGTGAATGCTCAGTGCTGATGAGTCATAGTTTTCACTTAAACCAACTTGCTTAGATAAGCAGAAAACTCACACATTTTCGTTCACAGATTATACAGATTTTTCTTGGCTGAATGAGTAGTGAGAAGGAGGTATGTATTAAACTACATTTTTATGCATTTGTTTACATGTATGTAGGTGATTGTGTATAGTCAGTTAACTTTCCAACTAATAGGTCAAGAGTAAATAATGAATTTATTTGATAGTTGACTTTAGAAATCTTTAACATATCAAAATGATCAATCACTGACCACGCTATTCTACCACAAATTCTTAAACAACATTTATTTATTTATTCATTTGTGACTATGGTATAGTTTCTGTTAAATGTCTTTTCATTGTTTATTTGTTCTCTAATTTCTGCCAACTTTCTCTTAAGTCTTTATATTCTTTTTTGATATATATATATATATATATATATATATATATATATAAAGAGAGAAAGGGGAGGAAGGAAGGAAGGGAGAAAGAAAGTTCGCGTTCAATATTGGATATTTGACAAGTGACTTGATAGAATCGAAGTATCGCATTGTTTTTCGTGACAATAGTTGTTGTTGTTGTAGTGTAAGTAATAATAGAATTCAAAAGGACCGTTTATTTTGGAGTGTTGATAGTATCAGGTTTAGTTTTTCAATTTGAAATACATATTGTATTTTGTCTGGTTTGAGTATAGACAACTAAAACTTTACATGTTCTCAATCGATTTAAAATGTTATAAGTATGTCATTGTGAACAGACTGATCAGAAGGATGGTTTGGGTTATCTTGATAGTTTGTTTTATCACGAATTGATAAGCTTTGAAGAACCATTGAAATCTAAAGCATGCAGGAAGTATTTTATACTCTAGTTTGGGAGTGTTTGTTTGTAAGGTCAAACCCGTAGTCACCAATCAGGTTAACCAGTCTGTTGTGACTTCACTCACTAGAAGATCTAGTTGTGAACAGTTATAGAGCGTACCGGCACAAATTTAAAGGTTATAACGTTTAGTAGTTATACGACCAACTGAATAAAATCTCAATTTCTACATTTTCCACCGTTGGATGTAAACTATTTCGTCTAAATTGTATCATTATATTTATAGTTCGAGTATACTTTCATCATTAATTGCTGCTCAATTTACATTTGGGTTTCCAAATCAACACTTCTTTCTCAATTAGAACTCTAATACTTTATCAGTGTAAAAATGACCTTTTTTAGTGATTTCGCGAAGTAATCTATCAATCGCAGACGGGAGTGCACTCACTAGACAAAGGTATATTTATCAAGGACTTTTCCTACGACAGTTTAACTCATCTAATTTTTAAATGAATCATAAAGTCAAATGAATTTATTGAACTTAAAGAATACAAGAAACGAAGATGGTTGGTCTCATGGTCTATCCAACACGAGACTTTCCTGTATGGTGCGAAACTTTTAATTCATTAGCTTTAATCCAATCTCATGAAAAAAGTCATGTTATGATCCCGTTCTCGAGAGTAACCAGAATTTTCCTGAAATTCCACTATACATCGCGATGAGAATTACTTGAAGGGCTTCAGTTAGTAATAATTTTAACATGCATTTTGTCAAAAATCAACTCAAGTAAGCAAATGAGATTTCCAAATGAACCATTACCACTTAAAAACAGTATTTATCGAACTTTCATTCGAAAAGAATGATTGTAGATCCCAGAATACCTATTAATTAAGATATCCGATTTCAATTAGTTAGATCATGAGTAAATTGAAGATAGACCACCATGGAAAACCTGGAAGTATTGGACGACCGTTTCGTCCTAGTGTGGAACACGTCAGTCATGAGCACCAACGATCCCGCCTCGTAAAGTTTGAACCCAGGACCTATCGGTCTCGCGCGTGATCTCTTAACCTCTAGACTACTGATCCAGCCAGGATCCAACGGTGTCAATGTCTAAGTTGAACTAACTCCTAGTAGGATTCCACCAGTCTGATTGTAGCGTGTGAAATAAAAAGCCTACTGAGATGGTTTTTTCATAAATCACATACCTCTTCTAGTTACTTCCAGTTGTATTTACTGATTTATCCGTCTTCAGTAGTACGTAGGTTGAAAGAACTAAGAGAGTATTATCGAAAGAAATCTCAGAACATATACTAATTAATGTGGTGAGGAATCCCTAGAAATAATCAAGCAGCACTATAAGAATATATTTCATGGATACAGGTTATTCAGTAGATTCTGCTACTACTTTTCAAGTAATAAACAAAAACAGTAACGACAGACATTTACGCCGAAGCAGCAGTTATTGATTGTCTCAACTTTGATATATGTGTAAGAAAGCCTTGGTTAATCTGTGTCAACTATGATGATTGATTTGTTGCAATACAATCCCCATGTTTTTTCACAAAGATTTGAGAAATTTCTGTTTCACTCTTTCGACTTATAAATCTTACAAAGATTATTCAACTTTTCAACATTTTATAGACCTAAACCACACCTTTATTATTCATTTTAGTGAAGTTTCCATTTCAATTTTAGGGTTGTTAAGATTTTTGAATTTCATTAAAATTATAAACCGACAAATGTTTGACCACCATTGAAAACTTGGAAGCACTGGACGCCCGTTTCGTTCTTCAGTGAGACTTCTCAGCAATGCGCATCCATGATCCCACATGTGGGACTTAAACCCAAGACCTTCAGGTTCTCACACGAACGCTTAAAATTCAGACCACTGAGCCGGCATCCAACGGCATTAATATCTACGCCATAACCAGTGGAGTTCAACCGTTTTCGGTGTGAGGCAGTTACTCACAGATAACAATAGATGGTCGCGCAATATCGTGGATTGATCGGAGTTAAACATTCAACACACTTGGGTGCCGGCCCAGAAATCTAGCAGGAGACAAAACGTCCTGTGTTCGAGTCCCCTGCACAGCAGCATGGATATGAACTGCTGAGTTGTCCGATTTGAGGAAGAAGTGGCCGTTTAGTGCTTCTGGGTTTTCAATTCTAGACGACGGTTGTTGTTGTTATTATTATAACTAATCTCATGATTCAACAATATTCAATAAAATACTTAGCCCCCTATAATTTTACCCATCTAAGTTTTTGTATTTTTAATACCATCTTTAGTTCCCACTATTATTACCAACATTATTGAGAAAGATTCGAACATTAACAACATATTGCAGATACATCTGGTTGACGAGTCCTGAATAGGACAAAACGCAGCTCTATATTTCAGTGCTAGCCATAAATCTATTTATTTTCTTATCATCACTATTATTTCATTTGATTTGTCATTGATTTTATGGTAATTACTATCAGTCTAATTGTTTTACCCACCGAAATTTGTAAATATCTTTTGTAGTTGATGATATCAGGTTTTGATGATTCGTTTAATCCTTCCGTCTATAAATTGTACTTGTTTGATTTTGAAAAAGAAACACAATTATATTGTTATTGGATGCTGGCTCAGTGGTCCATTGGTTAAGTGCTCGCGCGTGAAACCAGTAGGTCCTGGGTTCGAATCTCCTAGGAGGCGAGGTCGTGGATGAGCACTGCTGAGGAGTTCCACAATAGGACGAAACGGCCATCCAGTGCTTCCGGGTTTTCCATGGTGGTCTAGCTTCAACTGACTCATGATCTTAACCATCGAAATTATAATTATTCTTCATTAATCAACTGAATGACTTAATGCAAGTTATACATAAAACTACATAGGTAAAGCCTTTTATTTTAAAGCACATGAAATTAATTCACTTCATCCTTCATGTTTGTTGTTTATGGTGTGCAACAATTTATCAAATAAACCATTTACATGATTATGAAATTATAAATTTATAGAGAATTAGGCAGTTAGATAAGTATACATTTTGAACATTGATACTATAATTCAACTGTAATGATGGATTGGATCTTTTCGTTGATGTTATGAACTGCAATTGATCAGTCTCTTTTAGCATATGTGCATCGTGTGAGGATTGACTTGATATTGTCATTCATTCACAGACATTTCAGTTGTATGATGACTAGCAGTAGAATCCAGAAAGCGCGTTTTATCCTGTTCGACACTTATCAGTTGAATGTACCTGTACACGTGTTGGTGTCCACAACATGACTCGAATAAAATACCTTTTATTTCAAACTGCCACCGCAATACCGTTTTAGCTAATGAGTACGGATAGCATTGTTAATATTTCAGTTTTATTTCAAAAACTAATTTCAGATATAAATTTATCATAATCTTGTTTGATATCCTCCTTAGTTTCATCGGTTGTTTAACTGACGTAAGCTGGTGATATAAAATTTCGAACTTAGTAATCTCTCCAACGTTAAGCAATAATAGGTCTTTCTGTTTAGTCTTTATTGATCCATTACATATTACAATTCTCCGATCTACATATTACTGATTATTTTTCATACGATATTTAGATTAAACTTACCGTGGTTCGTTTTTAATCGTTGTACAGATGAGAATCACAACAATCTGGGACCATATACTTGTACAGTAGGTTATATTATTGTTCTTAATTTTGATTCATCATATGCACCATCTTAATCAATCATTATTTGATAATTAGACAAAAAATCAATAGTATTATTGAAGAAGGAAATACTTACCAAGTGTACTAGTTCTGTACATATCTTGACTAGAGGTAGACAATAAATCACTTGACTTATTTATACAATATTCTTTTGGTAAAGTTTTTGTATTCCATGATCTATTCCACCAGTGATCACGAATAAATTCGCAACCATTTCTGTTATTTGATTGAATTGTATGATTATCTATTGTGATTGGATTATTCGTATTATTACTACTATTACTATTATTATTAGTAGTAGTAGTACTACAAAGATTACGAGTTTGATTATGATTTGATCTACGAAACGGTGTAATACATAATAGATTTTTACATCGAATTAAAAATATTGTCACAATTAAAATCATTGAAATAATTAATGTTAATGCAATTAATACAATCATAATAATTAAATCACGATCCATTCTTTTGAAATCACGAAAATTTGAATCCGATTGACGTTTTAATTCAGAATGATGATATATGGATTCCATGGAAACACGATCAGTTTGTGATTGTTTATCAAATTGTAAAGGAAGTATAGCTATATATAGAACTGTTGTATTATGTCGTGGAGGTGTTCCACGATCTTGTGCTTTTAATAAAAGTCTATAACTATGAACTTGTTCATGAATTTTTCCTAGATTATTAATGATATCTCCAGTTTGAAATAATATAGTATTGTTTAATTCTTCTTTTGTTAGTGATTTCAAATTCATTGGTTGTAATAAATGATGCAATGAACGTACTAAATATAATGCACCACTCATTGGATCCACTTCAAATAATCCATCATCATTTCCATGTACAATTGAATAACTAATTTCTCCATTTAAACCTTCATCAATATCAATCGCTTTCAATTGAGCAATCAATAAACCGACAGTTGAATATTGTGAAATATTTATAACACTATTAGCACCAAATTGTTTTGGAAATATCCATACAGGTGAATTATCATTAGTATCTAAAATTCGAATAAGAACATTTGATACAGCGGAAAGTGGAGGATTCCCGGTATCAGTAGCTATAACTTCAAAAGTTAATACAGGAGTTTGTTCACGATCTGTTGTTTGATGTGTATAGATGATACCTTCAAAACTGATATAAACATAAAGTTTTACCATTTGACCTACTGTACCAGGTGATGGTCGCATACTATATCTTATCATACGATTGGATAATTCTGCATCACAATCAACTGCATACACTCGACCTATCTAAATGAAGTAAAAATATGTAAGAAAAAAACAAATATAAAAAACATAGGTATGACTAAAGGAATAAATTGAAATAAATTAGCCTGACGTTACAAAACAATGAACTGAGGAGTCATTGAAACCCACATGGTTGAAGCATCTATCTAGTTTCATTCTCACACTTTGCACTAATATACATTCACCATTTGGTCAAGATCAGTTTATCATGAACTGATATTAAAAGTGTAGCAAAACTGGATTATAATTTAATGATTTAAGTCTATTGAGGTTTTTATACGACCGGATTTCATGAATGAGAATGAGGTGTGAAATTCAGAGTTTACAATTTTTAATAAGGTATAGTAATCCCTGGTGTAGTAAACAAGAACACACAAAGGGACAATTAAATACGTTTGAATATAATATTGCAGAATCTCTTAGGACATTCTGAAAAGCCATACAGTAAATTCTTCATTTGGAAAATGTCAATCAGTTGTGTTAGACCTGTTTGTTCCTTCGTTTCTACACCAATCATTCTCTGTTCTCGTTTTGTTCTATTCTCCTCAATCATCTTAACATTTTGGCACCCAACATTTCAATTTCAAGTGATAATATATACTACTTTTATCTGTCAACCTCATAAGCACATACCACACTGTTATTTAATCATTTATAGACTGATATCGGTCCGTGATTGAAAGAAAACATCGAATCAAACATGTGAACACATAAAACATGAATGTAGCTACGATTACACATATCAGTCAGTGAATTTCATTAATTATGCAACTATAATTCAATAATAATTTTATAAACTTTTCTATTGATGTTACTGTGGTGTAGGCTACTAATATTGACAAGGATAAGTGGTATGTAGCTCCAATCAGTAGTGGATTGCCTGTCAGCAGAAGATTAAGAAGATTGGATTGAAGAAGACAGAGAGGAGTTGGAATGAAGAAGTATGTACAGAACAACTGAACGAAGATGTGCAAATAATGTAGTTAATGCATGATTTTCATATTTTATGAACACACTCTGTAATTTTGTCCTAAACAATAAATTGATCTTCTTCACCTGAATTCTTGTTCACTATATTACTATTACAAATGAAGTCTACACTATATGTTTTTATTCCAGTAAGGACAAAGTTGATTGGACTATTTAGATTGATCTTTATTTTAAAAGAGCTTTTAATATAAGTTCATCGTATGTAATCCAACACTCTAACCTCATAGTTTATTTAATTGCCACTGGATGAATAAAAATCGAATAGTGGAACCCTTACTTTTTTCTCAAATTATATGACTTCAGTTAAAAACACACTATGAATATTGATACATCCTCTGTCAAATGAATTCATAACATAACAAAAGAAGTTTACTTCAAATTATAAAACTGGGTAATTCGAAACTACACATATTACATATGTGACATCTTTGGTGTTACATAACAATCAGTCTAATGGTGTAAATATGTACTCTGCGTGAACATGACATCTTGAAAGGAAGACTGTAACACACATGCCAACTCTATGTTGAGTAATGTTTCCTACAATCATCTATATGTTTTTAATGTGTAATCAATATATTGTCATTAAAGATAATGCATGATTAGACACCGCCTACCCTGACATTCAGTGTCAGCGAGCGTAGGAATAGATTTGAAAGAAACTAGTACTGAGTACATCAGGACACTGCATCAACTTATGAAGTCTGATTTAAACCGATAAGTGTAATCATCTTGAGAGCTGCTCACTTAATAATTGTAATTAGTGGTTGCAGGCGTTGAGTGAACTAACATACAATAAGTCACAGTTGGGAAAACGTATTCATTTCCTAACTACCTCTAAATGTTAGTTTGTTATTATTCCTATTTTTTTATTCATTGATATCAGTTATTCTAAAGAAACTGTATTTAGTTTATACAGCAGATATAGTCTTGGTAATTTTTTGTCCTTTTCGGGCTACTATGAAGTGTAACAGTGTCAATCTGTGCATTTTCACTTTGGTGTCTAAGTTTATTGTCACCCTTCTGAAGTTATTCAAGTCACCTTTAAGAAGAAATTAGAAGGTTTTCCTTGATACACTTGTAGTTCTCTGATCTTTAGTTGATATCTGTTATAGAAATGAAAACAGTTCATCATCAAACATAACATCATGACATACATAATCATATAACATAAGATGATGTTATCTTCAACACTTTCAGCTTTCACTAATCCTGTCATTTCCGGTGAATTTTACATCCATTTAGTGAATTAATGCTTCATACTTCAGTACAATTTATATTTAAAACACTAACTTTTGTTACATTTGTTTTTTCCCCTCAATAGATAGGATTGTGTTACACCAAACATGTGGATACCTCCAAACGCCTGTCATGAACACCATAATATACATTGCTCATCTACTAAACTAATGAAAAACAATCAATCTAAATGCAGATTTCAAACAGTTATACAATTAATTTTTTAACTTTGTAAAGAATCAAGAAGCACTAATGTTTCTTTAGTTTTTTTTAAAGTAATGTCAGGACTACAATTTATGGACGAACCAATCTGGTATGAGATTACAGGTCTCGGATTTTGACGCGAAATTCACTCATCCATTTAGATAAATAGAGTCTTGGCGTTATAGCTGATGTCAGTTACTTATGAAAATGCGAAATCTAATTTTTAACGTTAATCATCAACTGTAAATTCTAATTCTAATTCCTCACGCTGATTTATAACCCTCATTTAGTCCTGGTTATTAAGTGAATACACTCAAGGTCAGTATAGCATCGCTGAAAGATCGGCTATAAATTGTGGTCCCATTGAAGTATTCAGTTGATGAATAACTTTCAATTTAGTGTTATATTTTACAGATTGAAATTATGAGTCAATTGAAGCTAGACCACCATGGAAAACCCGGAAGCACTGGAAGGCCGTTTCATCCTAGTATGGGACTCCTCAGCAGTGCGCATTCACGATCCCGCCCCCCGTAACATTTGAACCCAGGACCTATCACACTCGCGCCAAGCGCTTAACCAACTAGAACACTAAACCGGCTGGCATCCAGTGGTGTTAATGTCTACATTCAACCAATCCACGAAGTTTTGCTGCCGTATACCATTGTCTTCAGTGAGCTGATATCTCAAAACAGACCTGGTTGAACTCCACTGATAAGGGCTTCTCGCTAGAACTCCAGGAGTATCTCTTGAAGTCAGTCACTAGTGAGCGTACTGATAGGCCCTCGGTTCGAATCCCGTGGGGTGCAGGATCCCGGATGCACACTGCTGAGGTGTCCCACAATAGGACGAAACGGACATCCAGTGCTTCCAGGTTTTCCATGTTGGTTTAGCTTCAATTGACTCATGATTTCAATCAGTGAAATTTCTAAAATCTCCACAAATTCCTTCTGTTAATTTTTAAACACTTTGTAAATTGAATGAAATAATCTATAAAAAAACCTTTCTATATAGTTACATGAACTCCATTTATTGGTTATGTCATTATCATGGTTTATCTTCACTGTCTAATATTGTTATTTTATTTTAAAATGTCAATATTGACTAAAATGATTTACTCGACAATATGTAGATTTCAAGTTTAATAGCTATTCAAATCAAACTATTACATAAGTATACGGAAATAGAGATGGACATTGTATTCTGTTTAACTGATGATTTTCATTATTCTATTGAACGGAAATGTTAAAATGTTGAAAGTAGACCCCCCAAAAAAGAGAAAGAAACAGTTGAATATATTATATAATTAATAAAAAGCTCTTTGCTAAGTTCATTAAAGTTCTGATAGAAAAATGTAATTAATTGAATGTCTAGTTTCGAAATTGTTTCTATTTACTAATGTAGACGAATCAGATAATGTATGAAATGAAAAAAAAACAACCATGGTACAAATTGTGTATGATGGTATTCTTAAAAAGTCAATAGTGTATTGACAGGTTAATGTTAATGTATAACTTCAACCAATCCATGATATTGCTCGTAACATCATTGGATGTTAGCTCAGTGGTCTTAGAGGTTAAATGTTCGTGTGTGAATTCGAAGGTTCCAAGTTCGAGTCCCGTATGCGGGATCGTGAATGCACATTGCTGAGATGTCTCATAGTATGACGAAATGGTCATCCAATGCTTACGGGTTTTTCATGGTGATGTAGCTTAAATCGACTCATGAATTCAACTATTGTAACTTAATACATTTACAAACAAAAGTGGCTGACCATGTACCAAAGTAACTGTAAAAAGAAATCAAATCAAATGGCCTAATGAAAGCAGGCGATAAACACTCATCTTTATCCATTATCAAACATAGTTGAAACTAATCATAAGATTGATCTTAAGTTAGCCAAAATTTATTTAAGATGGATGGTTAAGTTTATTAATGCTCTAACTATAATAGATTTCGAACCCTCTCTATGTGTACACAGGTAATAATGTGTCATTAATTATAATGAAATAATCCATATTATTTTATTTAATATCTTTGTTATTCTTCTCAACTCTCAATTTGTCTAGTTGATCTTTTATTCTTTGTATATAAGTAAGTACCTTAACATGTAAGTGTATGATCCGATGGTTTGAAATGTATGCCTCCAATAATGTAACACATTACAATCATAAGTGTCATTTTATCATTACACTATGTGGATTTATCAAAGAGACTAACTATTGTAAATATTTTATATTCTATATTTCAATTAGATTTAGTTTAATGATGTTACTTTCAGTATTCTATAATGATAATGGTAAGCTGATGCATTTGTGTTTCCATCAATGTTATTATTGAATATTTGGTAACGCCATTAACATTACAATTTGCGCCCTTCTATTAGTATATACTCAGTAATTAATGTATGGGATTATACTTTTAATTTTCAGATATTGTATTAGGCATGACATAGTCAAAATCAATTGTCCAAGTATTTGGATTCAAGTGGTTTGAAATATAGTATAAAGATTACTCATTGATATCACGTAACGGCTGAATTCTATCGATAATCTAATCTCAATGAAACATCA